CACACACACACACACACACCTCTCTTTCTCTCTCTCTCTCTCTCTCTCTCTCTCTTCTATCTTTCTTGCTCTCTTACTTTCTCCCTCCCTCTGTCTCTATCTCTCTCTCACACACGCGCACAAACTGGGAACGCACAAAAGTATCAGTCTCTAAAATGAGTATCCAAAGATTCAATGCATATGTACAGATATTCAACAGTTTACATGCCGTAGGCCTATTTATATACGATTTACAATATCTTACATGAAACAAAATGTTCAACAAAAGCGTAATTAAATGCAGTTTCCACTGTGAAAAAAAAACACGTCTGCACTTTGAAACTGGTCAATAATTAATATGGCCATACAGATTTACGACCTATTACTTTCAACACTTCTGAATGACAATACAATTGGTCGCTTTTAAGGACAAGCGAGCTAACCAAAATTTCGGGGGTTTCCAGAAATCTTGACCGACACCAAAAATGGGCATTGCCCTACCTATAAGAGAAGTTTGGTTTCATTGGTGTGTATATTTGTTTGGTTATAGAAAAAACCCTCATTGTCTTTTAAAGAAACTGAAAAAGGGTCCAAAAATTTTACCTTCGATTTCCTCATGACAGCATTTTTCGGGATAGCCCCCCTGTCCTTAAAAGCGACCAATTATTCATAGTCATCGCCTGCACTGAGTTGATGGTCTTGCTTTTATAGTAGCTTATCTTTCAATGCTGTCAGCGACTGGGTTAATTATGTGGCCAGCTGCCTGTGGATGCTTTGGTCTCCCAGGAAATTATCGGTTAGCGCGAAGAGAGCTTCTTGTTCCCGGTGTATCGGCGCTTGCCTCAGTCTTTGACCATCGTTTGCAGACGAGGAGACGCCATTTTGGTCCGACAGTCCCTTCTGAACGGCATATCTGGACACCCCGCAACCTCCATCCACCTCAGATTCAAATCCAAAATGAGTAAAACTTTGTAGCTGATCTTGCTTTTTCGAGTTTCCTGAAAGAGGTGGCTTCATTTGTTTTGTTCTGGAGATTTTGTCTTTGGGCGGCGCTTTGCGGAACCAGCCCGTGCTGAATGGACACAAAGACCTGCCAGGTTGTACATTGTCTTTGAGCTCCGACGCGGGAACTCGTACAATTTGTTTATATTCAACGTCTTTTCCGTTTTCGGAAGGGAATGGCACTTTGATTATTGGTCCCGGTGAGATTTTGGGATCATTGTCTGCAATTTCACCGGCGGAGGTGGTGGGGGAAGGAGGCTTTGACGTCACTAGCTGTCCTATGCTGCCGTCGTTGCTGTTCTGAGATGTGGAGGACGTGGGGCTGGAAGGGTCCTCAGATTGGGCTGGACGTTTCTTAGGCATGGAGAGTGCGAGACGTTTCCAAAATTTGTCCAGATCCTGAGGGGTTGAGGGGAAAATGAGATGAATGATTGTCCTACTCACCAGGCCCAAATGTCAACCCCCCCCCTCCCAAAGAAAGGAAAGGAAAATCAACAACACAAAAAGGAAAATCAACAACACAAAACAGATAAGAGAAACACCTCTGCAAAGGAAATATCAACCAAAGGAGGGCCATGAGGGGGATAAAACACTCACGCTCTTCGGGGCTTTTTTCTTGGTCGTTCTTTGGTGTGTGTGTGTGTGTGTGTGTGTGTGTGTGTGTGTGTGTGTTTGTGTGTGTGTATGTGTGTGTGAGTAGGTGTGTGTGTGTCTGTCTGTGGGTGTCTGTGTGTTTGTGTTTGTGCGTGTGT